GTCGGCCGAGGATGATGTTGTGGGCGCAGTCGATGTTCACGACGACGAACTCCACCTCGAGCTTGGCTCTAAGGAGCCCGTCGCCGAAGAATACCGGGAGGGTTATGACCCCCTTGGAATCAATGGTGTCGCCGGTGAAACCAGCAAGAGGGGTCTTGATGGGCCGAAGGGACCCCCTCTCCAGATGCAGTTCTCTGAAGGTACTAAGGTACATTACATTGAAGGAGCTGCCTGTGTCAATGTAAGTTCGATGAATGATAGTGTCATTGATCTCTGTGCGGATGACGAGGGCATCCCTGTGTGGAGAGGACACTGGAGGGAGATCAGCGTTAGTGAAGGTGATGGGTTCCTCCCTCAGCCGCTTTACCGGGGGCATATGAGTGACTTCCCCCACGTAAAGTGATTGAGCCCACTTCTTCCGTTGACTGGTAGAGACAATCCCGGTATTGCCTCCCGTGATCATGAGGATGTGGCGCTTCTTTTCTTGGTACCGAAGGTACTCTTCCTCCTCTTCTTTCAGGTTCCCAATCTCCCTGTTCTTGCTCAGGGGGATGGTGTTGGGGTTGACCCATGCGTTTGTTCTCATAGGGTGCCCTCGAGGTGGCCCTTGGTGAGGGGGGCCCTATTGTTGAGGGCCCTGGACAAATTGGGACAAATGGCCCGCTTGTATCAACCTTTCGATGGTCGTCTTCAGTTGATGGCAGTCATCGGTTCTGTGCCCCTGATGCCGGTGGAAGCGACAGTAGGGGTAGTTTGGATTGATGGCATATACTTCCAGGGGTGCGCGTGAATCTCGCTCCACCAGGCCTGTCTCCTCAGCGAAGTCGAGGATGACGCTGACGGGGTGCGTCAAAGGTATCCGAGGGTGCTCCAGGAGAACAGGTTGTGCCCAAGCCCTCGGGTTCCTCTTGTAGCCTCCCCCGGGCTTGGCTTGGCCTTGCCGGGGGCGATCACCGGAGGGGGCCGAATCCTTGGGTTGATTACGGGGAGCCCCCGGCCCCCGGTTGCCTCTGTCGTCTGGCCGAGGGTGTTGCTGATCGGGGTTGTGATTGCATTTCTCCACCTCCTCGGCTTCGACATACCTGTCCCCCCGCTGTAGGGCCCTTATATAATCGCGGGGGGGTTCGATGATGAGGCTCCTTGAGAAGTTCCCGGGGCGGAGTACTGTCTGGAAGAGGGCCAGGAGGGTCCCGTCGTCAGCGCCATCAACTTTATCAGCCTCCGTTCTCCAACGCTCCAAGAAGTCCCGAAGGGTCTCCTCCTTCCTCTGCCTCACTGTCAGCAAGTGGGAGAAATGTTTTCTTGTGCGGCGCCTTCCCGCAAATTGCGTCAAGAATCATTGGGCGAGTTCTTTCCATGAGTCAATGCAGCCCTCAGGCAATCGATTGAACCATTCGTAAGCCGGCCCCTCTAAGGTGGAGAGGAACCAACGGCACAAATACTCATCTGATGCCCCAACCATCATCATACTGTTTTGGTACCTGCTGTAGTGCTCCTGGGGGTCAGTCTTTCCGTCGTAGGGCTTGATGAGCTGCCCTCGGTATTTTTCCGGGATCCGGGCCGCCAATACCCTTGAGGTAAATGGCGTCCGGGTCCGGAGTTGTATGGTGGGCTCCCCGGAGCCCTCGGTTATCTTCCTCTGCATTTCCTCCATCTTGGCCAACATGGCCTCATACTTCAGGTCTGCATGGGGGGCAGAAGTGGTGGCGTGGGCTTTGGTGGCCTCCATCTCGTTAAGCCGGCGCCGGAGGGCCGCAATGATTTCGTCCTGGGGGTCCTTCGGGAGAGCCTCCGCCCCCTGTGAATTGACACGGGCCGAGTGGGCCTGGTTGATTTGGTGACGGGCGTCGTCGGCATGGAGAGGTGCCTTGCCCTTGTCCTAAGGGGGACGTCTTTCATTAGCCCTGGAGACGGATCTGCCACTTTCCTGAGGCCTCTGGAACACCTTCCCCCCGAGGTGGTCTTGGACCCCTCGGTGGTCTTGTGCCCCTCCGAGTCTCTCGAGGGTGGAGGTCCGGGGTTGTTCTTTGTTCACGTTGTGGCGGTCCCGGGACTGAACTTCCTGGGAGGCCGTATCTTGGGCCACGACCCCCTCGACGTTCCCAATTCGGAGGACTGGGTTCCCGAGGGGGTGTGGATGAGAGGGAGGCATGATATTCTCCCCGACCTGAGGTTGGAGGGGAACCAAAGTGCCGAAGGCACCTGGATTCTTGGTGAGCGTCTGGATGAAGGCGGAAAACGCCGATTGTACGTCGATAGTAATGACCGGAGGGCTAACTTGGTTCTCGCTCCGGTCCTTTTTCTTGGCCTCGATGCCGAGGCGGGCATCGGGGGCATTCTGTTGAATCTGATGGCGTAGGTCGACAGCCGTCTGGTCCAACCCGACGATGACGCCGCCCCCGGGAACCCTGTTAGAGGCTTCGGGGACGTCGACTTCGCCGAGGGCCAGGTTCCTGTCCTCAACGTTCTTGGAGTTGGCACGAGTTGTTCTCACCATTTTAGCTAGGTGTTTTGTGTTTGGCGAGGGGGAGGGTTTCTTACTTGATTATTCGACCTCTCAACGAGAGCACCAAATGATGGATAGTATACCTGGGGGGTAGCTTATCCGAGGGGTTATTGCGGGGAATAACTAGAGAGAAGTCAGAGTAAATAAGTAAGAGAGAGAGTGTATATTCGATATGTATTGAACGTGTTTTGCTTCTGGTTACAAATGGGGAAATGGGGTGCTATTTATAGTAGTAATAAATGCCAGATAGGGACACGTGTCAAGCATCCATTGGCCAAGGGGTCACATCAATCGGTTGGTGTTGGCAATCGCATGTGGCCGCATTTAATGCGGCTGTTGGATGTGACGTCGTACTTGGTATGGTGATTCAGGCACATGTGGAGTGGATATTATGTCGAGAAAGGTGCCCTCGGCTGCAGGTGATTAGCCGAGGGCTCTGAGTACCGGAGACCCCCGAAGAGGCCGAGGGCTCTAGGTGCCGAAGGCTACTGATTTTCGCCGTTTTCTCCCAGTAACTTTGTGTGCTTGAGCTGGCCGTCCTGTGAGAATTTGGAGCCTTCGGCCAGGGGGCCGAAGGCACTCCCAGTATGCTGCGTGGGTTGCTCAGTACTTGGGGCGTTGTGTTTTGGGCCTGCTGTGCCCCCTGGGCCTATTGGGCCTTTATCAGAATAGTAGGAGTCTATGGGCCGGGAGTTCCTGGGCCATATACTCCATCATGTTTACTTCGGGCATGTTGAACAGGATTAGCAGTCAAGTAGGATGCAGAGATGTTGTCACACAATAAATGAACAGGCTCGGTTATAGGGAAGTCGAGCTCAAACAATACTGATCTAATGTGTAACGTATCCTGAACAGTGTAGGGAATGGCACGATACTCAACTTCTGTAGAAGACTTGGAAACTGTGGGTTGCTTCTTTGATTTCCAAGATATAAGATTAGGACCCAAAAATACCGCAAAACCTGTGGTGGACCATGAGGAGTCAGGACATCCTGCCCAATCTGCATTTGAATAAGCTAGAACACATGTGGGCTTGGCCGAATGCTGGAGCCACAAGTCATGTTCACGAGTGCCCTGCAAGTACCTGAAAATTCTCTTGACTGCAAAAAGATGAGCAGTACGGGGAGCATGCATAAGCTGAGACACCAAGTGTACTGTATAAGTAATATCTGGCCGTGTCAAAGTTAAATATTGTAATGCATCTACCATGATGTGATACTCAGTGGAATCTAAAAGCAACTCACCATCAGACAGGGATAAGGTGGTGCAGGACGCGAGTGGTGTGCGAACGGGTTTAACCGTATGGAGATGAAAACGACTGAGAAGGTCAGAAATATATTTAGTTTGAGAAAGAAAAAGACCTTTACTAGTTCGACGTGACTCGATGCCCAGGAAGTAATGTAAATCACCCAGATCCTTCATAGCAAAGTGATTAGAAATAATGGAAATAAACTGGGTAATGGTGGAAGGAGAATTACCAGTAATAATAATATCATCTACATATAATAATAAATAAATGATAGAATTATTATGGCGATAAATGAATAAAGAGTTATCAGACTTACTACAACAAAATACTCGCTGTAGAAGAAAGCTACTGAATCTATGAAACCATGCCCGTGGTGCTTGCTTAAGTCCATAAATGGCCTTACGCAAACGAAAAATGTGATTAGGAAATTGAGGATGTATAAAACCACGAGGTTGATGACCATGTAAAAATGCATTTTTTACATCAAGTTGCCGAATGACCCAGCCAAAAGACACAACAAGAGTGAGAACGATACGAACTGTGGTGGGTTTAATGACAGGACTGAAAGTTTCAGAGAAATCAATCCCAGCTTGTTGATTAAACCCCTGAGCAACTAATCTAGCTTTATGCCGCTCTACTGAAGCATCATAGTGATATTTAGTTTTATAAATCCACTTACAACCAACTGTATTCTTAGAATTGTCAAAGGGCACCAGATCCCAAGTATTATTATTGATGAGAGCATTAAAATTTGGGTAACATGCCGAACCAAAAACTCGCATAAATGAATAATCGGGAGCTCTTTGAAATAATATTTGGTAAGGTGAGAGACCATTTAAAATGTGAGAAGGTAATCTGTTAATGATATATGCAGCTGTAAAGATTGCATCAACCCAGAATGTACTCGGTACCGAAGCTTCAATAAGCATAGTTCGAGTTAATTCTAGGAGATGACGATTGTTGCGTTCAGCAACCCCATTTTCTTGATGTGTGTCAGGACAAGATTTTTGAAAATAAATACCGTTGGAGTTGAAAAAGTGTTGCATATTGTGCTAACAAATTCACCTCTTCCATCACTTTGAAAAATTTTAATTTTCTGATTAAAAAGATTTTCAACCAAAACTTTAAAATTTTTAAAATGCATAAAAACTTCACTTTTCTGATGCATGGGATAAATCCAGGTAAAGCGAGAATAGTCATCAATAAAACAAACATAGTATTTGAAGCCTAAATTGGAACCAACTGGAGATTGCCATACATCAGAATGAATAAGTTGCAACGGAAGAAAAGAATTATGACTAGCATCCGAAAAGCGCAAATGTTGTGATTTTCCTAGCCTACAAGCAACACATTCATGAGTAAAAGGAGTGTGACTACATAGAAATTGTTTGCGTTTAGGAAACTGTAAAACATTGTCACCACAGTGACCTAGTCTATGGTGCCACACAGGGCCAGAAGCTAAAACAGAAGTTAGGGCTAACGATGAGAAGGATGACTGCAAACGAAGTAGATATAGCGGTCCATTACTATTAGCACGCAGAAGCACCGCCCCCGATGCCTTGTCCTTTACAAAAATGAATTTATGTCAAAAATCACAATACAATTGTTATCAGCACATAACCTTTGAATAGAAATTAAATTATACTTTAATTGAGACACATGATAAACAGACTGTATTTTGAGAGGACAACTAGATGAAGGTAAAGCCACATCACCAATATGACAGATGGGTAGATGGGCATCATCAGCAACACTAACAAAATTATAGCTAGTGTAAACATATTTATTAATTAAATTACCTTCTGATGCAGTCATATGAGCAGACGCTCCCGAGTCAGGATACCATAAAGCCGAATTAGATTCACCAGAAGCAGTCAACAAAGCTGGAGTGGAAGTCTGGTTGAACCAAGATGGACAAGCAATAGCAGAATGACCTGCAGAGAAACAGATCTGACACACAATAGGATTGGGAATCGCCCCAAGAATACCCCCATTTGAGGAAGTGCCTGCAGAACCAAAGTTAGTAGCACAAACAGGTAAAGCATTGATATTTAAATGTGACATAGTAGAATTACAAGAAGCAGTACCCATACAAGGCACACACCCTGCCGAAGGACCACCCCCTGCGGTTGTGCCTTGCGGTGACACCGCATACGGTGGGTACCAGTACAGCTGCTGGTCGTGAGGTGCCGTCGGTTGGCCGCGTTCCCTTTCACGACCACCACGACCTCTGCCGCCCCGTCCTCGTCCACCTCGTCCGCGCGCAAAATTACCAGGAGGCCACTGCTGCTGCGGTGCACCCAGCTGCCGGAGATGCTGCGGACCTGCCTACGCGCCATGCTGCTGGAGTTGTGCGCTGAAAGCCTGGTGGACTGGCTGCTGCTCTTGGGACCGAAGGTATAGAACCCTTTGCTCTAATTCAAGATGATGATTCCGCAGGGTCTCAAACGGAAAATTGTGAGGAAAAAGAGACACCGCAGTGAACCGGGATTTATATTTGGGACCAAGTCCCATAATAGTGGATTTCAGCAGATCACGCGGTGAGACGGGGCAATTAATAGTGGCAAGATCATCAGCCAGTATTTTTATTTCACGTAAATAACTATCCATGGATTGATCAGGTTTCTTTTTAATTTGGGAAAATTGATGTTGTAATTCCATAGACCGGGCTAAACTGGCAGACATAAACCGTGATTCTAACCGTTCTCAAATTTCGTACGAGTGTTTTAAATCCCGAACGTCAATAAGAAGATCACGTGAAAGAGTTGCGAACAACCATGAATGAATTGTTTGATCAATTCGCAACCAAATAGAAAATTCGGGATTTGAAATTTAACGGTTAAGAACATCTATGAAATAAGCGGAAGGTACCTGAATAGATCCATCTACCATGCCAAGGAGACCTTGTGAAACAAGGAAGGACTCAAACTGGGTTCTCCACGTAGTTTAATCATCAATAGCAAGAAGTTTGGTGGTAACAATGTTTGTAACGTTGGTAGCCACGTGAGAGATTGTTAGAGCCAAATCTGCCAGAGAGGAACCGGTGGCGCTGACTGGTGTGGTGCGCAGTGGTTGGAGATTGGAGGAGATTCCCGGGGATCCGACAAAAGTGGGGTCGGCGAAGGAGGCAGCCGTATAGGGAGGCGGATCAAGGGGAATACACGGCACCGGAGAGGGAGGAGACAATGGAAACACCGGGGGCAGATTCTGGAAAAGTGAGTATGGCATGGAGGTCCTGCCGGGTGACGTAAAAGCAGAAGAAAACGTCACCCCGGACTCGACTGAGGGAAGCACCGGTGGCGGGTCACCATGAGGAGAAGCGGCGGTGCTGGGGAAATTTGCTGTCGCGTCTGAAGAACTGGGAAGGACAGGAGAAGAGACTGTCGTTCTGAGCGTAGCGGAAGAGCTGGAGGTGGACGACATCATGAGCGACGGCTAGGGTTTGTACCGTGCGGTGGCGGCGTGAGGAGATAGCCGGGCGACGGTAGAGAGAGAAGGCACCGGAAAAAAATTCGGTTTTTAGTATGCTCTGATACCATGTGAGAATAATGGAACATTAAGCTCTTTAAGGAGCCCTGACAGATGTATTTATAATAAAAGAGTTTAATGTAAAATACAATAGTGATCCTATAATAAATCTATTACTCTTTTATTATCATTCTATTACTTCATACCTCCTAGAGCAGTACTATTCATTAGTGAAGGAGATGATTATACTAGTATACATGAGAATGTTCTAAATCATGTTAGAGGCGACGGATTTTCCGAAATTAAATTAATTTACGGAAAATTGCCAAAATTTAAGAATTCGGTATATGTTGCTTCTTGATTATGGCCCATTCACGATGAGAAGATATGGCGTCATTTTTTCCTAATCACTACAAATGAGTATGAGAAATTGCACATTTACGTAGAAGCTTCTGCGACCCCGCCACAAAATTTAACGTTCCGCAGAACTCCCAGAGAGGAAGGCCCATCATCAGTATATGGTCGGAGGAACAACCGCCAAACGTTTCAGAACTACGAATCTCGCGGTATGTATTGTTCAAGTTAATTTAGTAATTTGTAAATTTTTTAATTTAGATTGTTAAATTGGAATTTTAGATTTAAATTAGACTATAATTGATCGTTGTACGTATAATCAATAATTAGATATCATAGGCTTCTTAAATATTATAACACAATGAGTATATATCACTAATATTAGTAATATATGTATTACTTAGTGTATTATATACTTAGGCTTTAATAAACGTATATATTATCTCTACTATAATATATTGCGACTAATTTGATAATAATAGAACGATAATCAACGTGGTGTAATCTAAAAAATATTTGTAAATGCATTGTAATTACCAAATCGTTGTGATATATTAAATAATACTAATATCATGCATAATTAGGCTAATTAATTTCTCTATAATTTAATATCTTTATAATAATATTACGCGTATCTAATTAATTATATGTGATTTATATATCACTTATATTAATTATATATATTTACGATATTGATTTAGACGAAGATAGTATCACGTCGTTAAAAAAGCTATATATAGATCTATAACTTATAATTTGCCTTAACTAATTTTTTTAGGAGTGTAGAAGTAGTAGATTTAGTGATTTGTAAATTTTTTAATTTAGATTGTTAAATTTGAATTTTAGAGTTAAATTTAGCTATAAAATACTTGAAGAAAGTTAGAAAGATTGTTAAATTTAGAATTTGCCTTAAATTTCGGTTTTAGGAGTGTAGAAGTAGTTAATTTAGTAATTTGTAAAGTTTTTAATTTAGATTGTAAAATTGGAATTTTAGATTTAAATTTGGCTATAAAGTACTTGAAAGTTAGAAAGTGTGTTAAATTTAGAATTTGCCTTAATTTTTGGTTTTAGGAGTATAGAAGTAGTTAATTTAGTAATTTGTAATTTTTTTTAATTTTGATTTGTGAAATTGGAATTTTAATTTAGTGTATATTATTCTTAAAAATTTAGTCCAACTGCATTGAGTCGAACTGAACTGCATCGAGTCCAACGGCAAAACATTTTTAGATTTTAGTAATGTTTAACTGCATTTATTTTAGTAATGTTTAACTCATTCAATTAGATAAACTCGCATTTTATAATATAACGCGTTTAAACAAAATTTGACTCATCAAGTCATATATGAATTCAAAAATAAATTAAGTTATAACATATTCAAAGTACATTTTATAACATTCAAATAAAATGTTATTTATTTTTTGTAATAGATAATAATATTTTTTTTTTCGAAGAACCACCAAAACAGTGGGGTAAATGTCGGGGAACATTTACCTAATTTATTAAGAATAGAAGTGGTTTACAATGCACAAAAATAATTACAAGAGAAGTAGAAGCAAAAGTGGGCCAAATCCCAGCCATAACATCCGTCCAAAAAGCCCAGAGAATATACGCTCCAACATAATACAGCCAACGCCCTTGGTCGGTAGGGTTTCAATAGGTATCGTGTAGCTATAGAGCGTCTCTTCATTTCATTATTATCGTAATAGATAATAATATTGAAATTTATGAATGTTCTACTTTGTACAGTCATAAACTCGGGTGAAGAGTCAGATGACCCTGACTATGAACAAGGTTTTAGTAGTGATGCATATTCATCCACAAGCAATGATGGTGACGAGGAAGTAGACACCACCTGGGCAAATGTGGAGCTACAAGAATTATATGTTGAACTGGTGGATTCTGAGCCTGAAAGGATCGAAGTCGGCACAGTTTACTCTTCAATTGATGTATTGAAAGAAGCGATGGCGAAAGAAAACATTCGTCAATTTCGTCAATTCAGAACGGATGACAAAAGGTCACGGTCCTGGAAGGCGGTTTGCATAGACCCGACCCTTTGCACTTGGCATATCCAAGCAGGAGAAGGTATGACGTCAAAAAAGTGGAAAGTAAAAAAATATCAACCCCATCACAGTTGTAGGGAGGATCCTAGAACGGCTGGGGATGACAGGATCCTAACGGCCAAGATCATAGCCAGTGAAATCGCTCCAAAAGTCAAACTCGACCCGAACTACAACATTAAACTGATAATGTCAGACATATATGAAACATTTAATATCCGGGGAGGCATCACAATTGTTCATTTGTTGGAATGGACGTTTGATCGCTCTGGGGCGTAAATTTGGCAATTGGGAGGCATCACAATTGTTCATTTGTTGGAAGCTATACAGTTTTCAAATTCGGGGACTGTTGTTCATTTGCAATCACAACAGACCGACACTCGTCATACGTCTGAATTCCGCCGAGTGTTCCGGCCATACAAAGCTTCTATAGACGGTTTCAGATTTTGCTTAACCTTAGTCTCGGTTGATGGCACTCACTTATATGGCAAATACAAGGGGGTTCTTCTAGTTGCGGTAGACATGAACGCTAACCGTGAGATATTTCCTCTTGCATATGCTGTTGTTGAGAGTGAGAATGCTGGCAGTTGGTTGTGGTTCTTTGCAAGGCAGGGGCGGATCCAGAAAGTCACAATGGGGTGGGCTGGAAAAAAAATTGAAATACACATATATAATAATAAGTCAAGTCGTCAACACTTACAAATTCATTAAAACATCATTTAAGTTGTGCCCTACGCGACTTCAAAGTATAAAATTCATCAATAATAGAATCTATATCTATATTATTGACAAAGTCTCGTTCAATGTAGATCATCAATGAATCTTCAAGAAAATCGTCTCCCATTTTGTTACGAAGTGCCGTCTTCACATGCTCCATTGCTGAAAATGCTCTTTCCGTAGTAGCAGTAGAAACAGGTAGGGTCAAAACTAGATGAATTAGTCTCGTCAACATAACATAGATTTCTGATTTCCCACTCTCCGTCAAATGTTGACATAACTCAACAAGTGTGGACGCTTCAGATGTTGAAACAATATCGTGCTTGTAGTGAATCAACTCATACTCAAGTGAGACAATGTCTTGATCAGTGAAATCTGCAGGATAAAACTTTTTTGCAAGTTTACAGATATCCTCACTGTTAAATTAGCTGAAGGAGTTCTTGGGATCCAAAGCAAGACTAAGTTGAAGAAGTTCCATGGATGTATCATTAAAGCGCGTGCCTAACTCAGTCAAAGTAAAATCAATCGCTTCATTGAAGACACCAAAATGATAATGATGTTCTATTGTTGGTTGGAAACGAGAACGCCCAATCTTATATGGATCACCCAAATTTGGAACATCAATATCATTTGAAGAGCAAAAACTCTTCACTTCTTTAAGAAATTCCTCCCAACCAGATGCTCTTAATTCTGCAAGGATAGTTTTAGTAGTACCAACGAATGTAATAGCACTCAAAATATCAAGAGTTTTTTTTTTTGAAGAACCTGGCAAAGAGCATCAGTTATTCTCAGAAGTTTATGCATCAAGTGTAAGACAAACACAAATTCAAAGCTTGCCATTTTTCTATAGGTCCCAAGAACTTCAGCTTTAGATCTTCCATTTGGAGAGTTCTCAACCAAATGTTCGAACACTTTGCAAGTTGCGGCATACATGTTTATCAAACTCTTCACGGAGCTATAGTGAGAACCCCAACGAGTAGATCCGGATCGTTGCAAATTACCAACTTGATTTGCACCACGTCCCAACTCGCGTTCCCCGTTTGCTAATAACTTCTCAATTTCACTTCTTTGAGACACGTGCAACTCTGATACCCGTTTTGGTGAAGAAGTGATAATATTAACAATATTATCCAAATGAGAGAAGAATTCCCAAATTAAGCTAACATCCTTAGCCGCAGAAACCAACGCAAGTTGTAAGCGATGTGCAAAACAATGAATGTAATATGCATAAGGAAAATCTCTAAGAAATAATGCCTGAAGGCCATTAAATGAACCTCACATATTACTCCCACCATCATAACCTTGGTCTCTCATTTTTGAAAGTTGGAGGTCATGATTACCAAGCACATCACATATTTTACCTTTCAAGGTACTTGCTACAGTGTCACTAACACTTCTGATGGCAAAGAACCGCTCTGTAAGAATTCCCCTGCTGTTCACAAACCGTATAATAATCGCCATCTGCTCCTGTTTAGATATATCTTGTGCTTCATCAACAAGAATGCAGAAACAACTATTTGCAATTTCTTCACGAACCATTTGACGAACTCTACTTGCCATTATATTCAAGATCTCTTTTTGAATGTCGGGAGCAATGTACTGAGCATTTTTAGAAGTATTCTCAAGTACAACTTCATGAACTTTGGTATTCATAGTCGCAAAAGCTTTCACTGGTTCAATAAAATTTCCCTGATTTGATGATGTTACAGATTCATCATGACCTCTAAATTTTATCAACCCACCCCACAAATAATTCCCAGCCCAGCCCAGAAAAAGCAGTCCACATCTTTCCCCTGAGTCCCTTACGACTTACCGCTCCCAGCCTGCGGACTTACGGTCGAAGTGTCGAATGAAGGCTTCAAGGGACGAGTGGACGACCGACG